AATCTCTAAGCAAAAAACCCAGAACTGCTTCAGTAGCCACATGTACTTCTAAATGTTATGATTTGGTCATGTAATATACCTGTTTATATTTTACCTTAAAAAGTAAGAGAAGAGCCATCTGCATCATTTCCAGTGAACCAAATTCCAGAGAATATTGGCTTTCCTACTGAAGCCTAGGTACTCAGCTGGTTTTTGCTTCAGTGCAAACAGTTTTATGCATCCTGCATATGAGGAGTTCTTCAGCTTTGCAGGTGGGTTGTGTCTATAAAAGCGGTATTTCCAGACACACTGATAGCTCATGAATAATTTTGTATTTGAAGGTCTGTTGCTGGGATAATGAATATTCTTCTCAGATGTTCTTATGTAGCTGCATGAATATGAGATTTCTGCATCTACTTCACTTGCTTTTGCTTATTTCCCAGTTGAAATCAAGACAAATTAAATCTTGGTTTGGCCTCATCCATTCTTGTCGAGTGCACTATACATGAATTTGGCTTCAAACCTCTGTACATAGGTGCCTGAAGAGATAATATTCTAGATGGTTTCAGGTAATTAGAAAATTTCACAGTTAGTGTGCAGTAGGATTCTTTATACTATTCATTCAAACCACAAAAATGGAAACACTGGTATTCACTTAAATACTTATGTGAGATTTAAAAGGGAAAACGGGAAAAAGAGGAAAGATATAAGATATAGAGGAGCTGAGTGTTATGGTAGGAATGTTCAAAAAAAGGAAAGTATAGCTACAATGTCATATAGGTATTTCACAGGGTGACTTTCAGTGACTATCATAAGGAAAGTAAATGAGAAATGTATTTAGGCACAAATTGAAATACAGGAAGTTCTGGCTGGAGATAAAAAAAAAAAAAAACAAACGCACCAGACAATAAAGATGACTGAATACTGGAGGATATTGCCAGAGATGTCATGGAGTCTCCATCCTTGAGGATGGTCAAAACCCGACTGGACACAGCCCTGAGCAGCCTCCTGAACCTGCATTCAGCAAGGTGTTGGACTGGATGATCTGTGGAGGTGTAAACCTGAAAGCCAGGTGTAAATGACATTGCATTAAAGTCTTTAATACAAATAAGAAAGAAAAAGATATGATGAAAGGTTCCCTCACTTTGGAAAACAATCTCTTCTGTTCTTATATGGTGTAATATAAACTATACTGTCATGATTGTAAAGTATTTGATGTTACTTTTGATGGTAACTTTAACATCTAAAGTACGATAGCTCCATAATACATAGGAGGCTTTTGAAAGGCACGTATTATTTAAGAATCTAATGCAATCCAACTAAACGCTCCATTTATTCCTCTTATCAGGCAATGAATTTTCTTCACAGCCTGTGTTACCATGGGTTTTCTGTCTGAAAAAATACACCTTCTGCCCTGTATTCCTGCTGCATTAAAAACAAAATACAAACTGGGGAGACAGCATTGAACTGAATATCACAGACTATTTTTCTGACTTTCCAAGAATTCCAATTTTTCAACACTTTTTGATATAAGTACTACTTCAGAAAGTTTACAACTTGTTCAGTTTTGAAAAGACAGCCACTCCTTCCCAGAATCCTCTTTCCTCTTCAAAAATGCTTACACTCAACCACACTGTATATACAAAATGTGTATTTTCAGTCTTTTGAAATGTCATAGTAAACAACTCCCATCATAGCAGAGAAAAAATAAACGCAACCTAGTATGTTTTTCCAATTGCTCATATATAATAACATGCCTCATCCATTTTATAAGCTTTTAAAACAAACACGGGAAAAAACTCCAAATTTGTATGTCAATTATCAGTTACAGAGAAGTCTAAAGGTTTTGTTGTTTACCTGTTGAGGCTATGTAGAAATACTGATATGGAATATTAATTAAGCAGTAATAGGAAAACACTGACATAATTAGGAGCACAAAAGCTGATGTTCAAAAACAATCAACTCAACCTACCAGAAAATTTGTTATGTTGGTCATTTTAGGTTCATTTGGGGCTAGTATCTATGGTAATGCTACTTCTGTAACACTTTAAGTTTCCTGCATTTAAAAAGATCATTGCTTTTAAGAATATACAGCATAATTAAAGCTATTGTTGAATAGGCAGACTATAGTAATGGAATTGCAAGTTAATCTTCTTGAATACGTATAATCTATCAATCATATATGTTAAGTTTGCCACTCACATTCGTCAGTAATCTTGTCAATTTAGTAGAACTCAAGAGATTAGCCTGCTTCGTTTCTTTGGCAAAAAGGGAAAAATATCACATAAAACAGTAAGCACTCCAGTTCTAGCAGATTTTGCACCATAGAGCACTGCTGCAGGTTTTGAATGAACTGCAGGACCATCTGCAAGAGTGGAGTGTGCTGAGTCTTTCTGTGTGCCTCATGGCAAAGAGGTGAATTTATGAAAAATGGTGAAAACAGGAATGCAAATATCAGTTCATACACAGTGTGGAAAAATAGCCAACACATAGGAGAACATGAGGAAATTCATGTAATTATTTGGGGAATGGAAAAACATGGAAACTTTTTTCCATGATTTTATACACAAATTTTTTTCTTCTGGCTCCAACCATACAAGAGGGTAAATCAAAAATATTTTAGCGGCAAGAGATGTATATTTGTATACATACAGCATGTATGCACTGAAAAATGAGAATTCTTTTCTTGGTTAAGCCAGAATAAGTAATGTAGAAGCCCAGGTTAATACTGTTACCTGAGATCAGGGTTTCTTCCACAGATTGCACCTATAATAAAGCATCTGTACTTGACTGCAATCAGTAAGGAGAGATAACATTCAGAAATACTTGTGTAAAGTGCATTTGTTCATAGTAGGCAGAATTAAAGACAAACATTTATACCACTTATTTTGCTGTTTCCAGTAAGCCTTAAAGGGTGTGTAAACTTTGTGAATTAAAGTGAATTTCACCTATCAGGAGGACCAAAACCCATTGTTTCTATACTCTGCCAAAATCCACAAATGTATGCATGGAGAAGAAAGTCAATACTCTAATGTGTATAATACCCCAGTGAAAACTACATCAGCTTTAGTATTCTCCCTCAAAGTACAGATACAATTCTCTAAATGCCTTTAACTGATGAAATGGTCTGCCAGCCAGAGCTGTTTCTGATGTGCAACAGGAAGATAAATATATAAAACTGTCAAAGTGTTGCTTAATCTGTGTTGCTATTGCCTTAAAAAGCTGCATTCATTTCAGAGGGCCATTCTCAAATTAATTTGCTATCCATACTGTAGGAAGTTCCATATGCTGCTATTACTTGGTATGGTGTTTTTTTAACAAAGTCTGTATTTTCACAAAGACAATACTGCATATTATGCTCTCTCTTTAGCTACTAATAATTCAAACTAATGCTAACTAATTTAGAGCTGTTGTGAGTAGGAAATTATGGAGATAACATGTGGACATGCAGTGCTTCAGCCTACTGTAACGACCCAGTGGTCTGTTCATTTCTAGTTACCACATGAAAATAAATAATAGGTAGCCTTTAGTCATTCTATGGGTTACAGTTAAATAGAGTTTAATTTCTTCACTGCTAAACATTTTTTAACATGCTCTTTCCCAGCTATTTATTTTCAAATAGCATTTGATAAAGAGTTATAATATTCTGCTAGTTATGCTGTTTATACTAGTGGTTGAGCAATAAACAGTGTCACTCCGTAGAATCCTGATAATGCTCGTTTTCCATTTTTTCAAATGCCTTAGTTGCATATGTTTTATATTAAAGTTACTTTAGTTCATTCAAACCAGAAAGACAAATCATACAGTCTTACTAGTTACTTTCAAATGTACTGTTTTCATTTTTTATGCCATTCCCATTATATTTGGAGCTTCAGGCTCTGTCACGTAAACAGTATATTAGTGGGATGCTTACAGTATAGTATCTTAAGATAATGCATCATATTGAAAAAATACTTAGATGTAGCACAGTATTTCTTTTTACTCCTTTTTTCAGAGTAGGGTTCCTGAAGACATACATATTTAAACCTGTGATCCATATCTGTGCTTGCAAAAACAAACACCTGCAAACCCCATTTTTCAGATACGACAAAGAACTAAAAATCGCCTTCATATCTAGCTCATTTTTATACATGAACTAGATAGGGAAAAGAGCTAAGGGGAAAAAAGTGTATCAACTCCATAATATTTATTTAAAACTTCACAATTTGTGTGGGGTATGATCTGCAGAGACAAACCAAATAAGTTTTTTAACAGGATTCTGTTACTGAATACCAATTTAAATAAGGCTGTTAATAAGTGACAATGACAAGGAATGCATTGAGCCAACCACTTAATAATTCTCAACAGTCTTACAAAAGTAAAGAAGATGAGCATCATAAGAAGTACGTTGGTATTTTATGTTACTGTTTGTTTTCTTCAGGTAAGAGCAAAAGTGTTATGCTCAACGTGGTGTCTTTAAAGGTGGAACAGATGACTGACCCAAGTGGAATTTTACATTCTTTGGAAAGAAGTTACCAGCTGGTCAGTAGTGATATTATAATTCATCTAGAAAGAAAGCTTTTAGGATGTTTCTGCATTTGAGACTGCACTGCAACATTCATGACTTTCAGTGATGGATACACACTTTTAACTGTTCACTATAATCCTCTTAACCAACAACTGAATGGACAGGTACATGAAAACTACAATATAGACTCCTTACACCAGTCTGTGTCGAGAGGGGCTGAGGTCTATCAGCAAAGGACTCAGTATGCAAACTACCTCTACTTTTGTATTCTTGTTATTTAAATGGTTAGTTGTCTCTATTGATATTAACCTAGCAGATATTCTAAAGACCTTAAAAATGAAGTTGTCCTATATGGTATGACCTAAAATGTTTCATCAATATGTTGATGAATCATTATTTCTTAAAAACAAGTGCATTCTATTGATGTAACTAAACCAAACTGTATACACTTTAAAAACATTTATCCATATTACCATATTAAAATACCTAAGAGCTATTGAAAATACCTCAGCTCTTAGCACTTTGTTGCTCCATATATTGAACTACAGTTGCACAAAGACTGAATTCCATTGCTAGGATTGTATGTTCCTGGGTTTCATACAACTATGGACCAAAAAAACAAGGAAAAATGTGGAACTTAAGTGAGATTAGATAGATAGATAGATTAGATAGATAGATAGATAGATAGATAGATAGATAGATAGATAGATAGATAGATAGATAGATAGATTAGATAGATAGATAGATAGATAGATAGATAGATAGATAGATAGATAGATAGATAGATAGATAGATAGATAGATAGATATGTTTAGAATGCATCTTTATCTATTTGAAAAAAGATGAGATTTTCTTGCAGTATTCTGCTAGTTGATGATGGAAAAATGTATATATTTTATACATCATCTATTTATTAGAACGTATTTTTCTATTCATCACTTTTCACTCCATCTGCTTACCAGGGATATGTCCATCAATTACATTTTAGTATGGCCTATATCCAATAATGTTTTAAATAAACTACTATAGCTGCTTTTGTAAGTAATACAAAATGAAACTGAAATCTAAGCTCTGATAATTATTAAGAAGTAGTGCAAAAATAGTACATCAAACCAGAAATCAGTGTATGATGCAGAACAAGTGTTCTGAATGAAACATTTTTTTCCTGTTGGATCATGTTATACCATTTGATGAAGTCTGTACAATCATCTGCAGAATGACTTCATCACAACAGACTAACTCAGCATTATATTCTTGGCAGAAAACAGCAGAATTTGAGCTAATTCGCTATGATTATCCTGAATTGTACTTCAATTTGGCAGTGGTAGCCTTTCTTTAGCATAGATCTTTAATTAGCAGCATCAGTATCCAGTACGCAGAGGTAATTAAGACCTTCCTTCCTTTTGCAGAGTCAGCGCTTACCTGGCTATTGGGTTTTGCCTGCCTTAATAATGACTTTTTAGTCACTATGCACAAACCTTCAGCAGAATTTGCTGGATTTGGTTTGGTTTATCTTCATTTGTTGAGGCTGGCAGGATTCACTTGATCCCCAGTGGCTCTTACTAACTGGCCTAGCATTTTTTGACACTGCTACTGACTGAGAGAAGAAGAGCTCTGCAGATTATGCCAAAATCATGCCTTTTTTATGTATTAGTATAGACAGACCAAGATGGCTTTATGGGAAAGAGAGCTTTACAAATACATGTAACTAAAGGCATTTTCCAACCTTTCTGTCTGGAAAACCAATCATTTTGTGTACCAGAGGAATAATTCTACTCTTTTTATTGACTATTATAGCCACATTTCTAGTAAATCATTCAGAATTTTCAGTTTATTTAATTGGAGCAAGGTAGACTTCTCTTACAATGGGCTAAAAAGTTTGTTTCTCAGAAGCGTCATCTGTTTGCTATCTAGCAGAAAGCACAAAAAAGAGAAATTAATCTGAAGTAGGGACCTGTAGCCTATTTAGCCAGCTGATGAAAAGTTTCTTTAGCAGATAAACTTGTTTCAGCTTTTTCACTAATGGAAAACTCCTACTTGTATACCTTCACTTTGAAAGTATAAACATCTTAGCAAAATTTTCTATCTTTACAGTGTATTTTATATAGTTGCCACTTCACACCTCACAAACTGAAATGCACACGACAATTTGTTCTTGCACCCTATAAGCTATTATTTTGCACTCTCTTCTGATGTTTAGGACTATTACAATATTCTCTTGAATAATGTATTTCTTTTTCAAGTTCCTGTGTATCAGTAATATAAATAATCACCATGTTGTGAGAGAAAGAACTGAAGAAAACCAAATTAGAACTGACTATTCAGTATCTAGTCTACTAAAAATAACACAGAAATCAAGCTCTGCAGAATAGTAATACAGGACAAAAAATATTTCATAAAGCTAGTACAGGGTATGATAGCAAATTGTCTCTCCACAGAAGCCATAAGAAACATACGACATTTTGTACTGTATTAATCTCACAGCTGCATCTGATTAAAAAAAATAAAATTATAAAGCAGGAGAATTGTATTCAGAAATTTTGATGCTGTGAAAGTGACTCAATTGCCTATGTTAAGTAAAATTTAATGCTGGATCATACCTCATGTAGCTGTTACCAAAATATTTAATTAACTTATCCTAGAATAATGTGCTTTATTTCACATAAAACAGCACTCCAAAAGCATAAAAACTTTTAAGATAAAATCATATGAATGTATTTCTAAGATGTTTGTACTCATCAATTCTGTTTATTCAAGACTGCTTTACAGAGGCAGAAGACAAAATGGAATTATTAATCAGCAGTAACTCCATGTCTTTAAGTCTTTGCCTTGTAGTAAAGGGTTCTGCCTGAGGCTTATCTGGTACCTGATGAACAAAATTTTGATATGTTTTACCAGCAGTGTTTTCTGCCAGAAAGATTTCTCTAAAGATAGATACATCACAGAGTGACTAATCAGGTTAACGTGTTTAATTGACTAATTCAGAAAGAGATTTAGACCAGAAATGGGAGTAGGTGAGACAATAGCTCAGTATTTAATGCCATTTTCATATAAAAGCAGATGGGAAAAAACAAATGAAGATATACTATGATATGAAAGAACATGAGACTGAAGCATGGGGAAGAAAATGAATGCACGTTTTAATACAGGAGATTTAGATTGGTATATGATGCAGTAAGTGAAAGAGTTATGCTTGCTGCACAAATTGTGTAATGACAGTGTGAAATAAATGATGCATTGTTCACAGAGCACTGCACAACAGCATGGAGGAGCTGCTAGAACACGACATGAAACTAGATAAGAGAGGAAACAGAACGGGTGTAACTGAACATGCAGATATTTTGCTGTATGACAAGAAAATAGAGTGGGTTTTTTTATGAAACATGCAGAGGATATGCATAAGTTTGTTTATTTCTCCATGTTCTTGGGCCTGCTCCATAACCTCTTCCATTCTATCATATCCGTACCAAGACCTGGAGACTAGAAGCAGTCACACTATTCAACGTTTAATGTACTTAGATTAGAAAGTCTGAGTAACATCTGTTTCCATCTTCCTAAATAGAACTGGCCCATGAAAGGGTCATGCAGATGATAATGGGAGGTTTGCAATGTATCTGTGGTGATACCCTATGACTGGTACTAACCTGTGACTGTTAAGAAATGTATTAGAAATTTTTCAGAAAAATAAAAAAGAATCCAAGAAACCACAGAACAGCTGATCAGACTTCTATACTATGTAAAGAATTCATGAATGAATGCTGAAACACGTGCAGGTAAGCGGAAAGTAATACGATTCAATGTTGTCTTCCAATGACGATAAACACATAATTAATTTGAAAGCACCTGATATGGCAGCACATAAAAATGTAATAAGCTACAGAAGACTATGATTAGAGTGAAATTTAAAACCAAATACTGAATGATGCTTAAAAGGGAAATAAGAGTTGGAGAGAAATTGCTAAAGGGATTACTCAGGATCTTGCTATTAGACAGACTATACTAAAAATTTCCGCTAACAAGATTATCACAAGAAGTCCCAATGAACTATGCTGACAACAAAACTGAGAGAAGCTGTGAATAAGAACAAGATTTAAATAGAGAAGAAATAAAAGAATGCAGAAGGCCTGTATATATTTGATTAAGGAGGACTGCGAGCACAATCAGTCACAGTGAAAAGGGGAAGTGTGGTGCTGTTAAATCATTTGAGAGAGGTTCTTACGATCAAAAGAAAAGCACTAATGATGTAAAAGGCACCGGTAAGATCTCATCTGAAATAGCATGTTAATAATCACCCCTGTGCAAGAATATTAAACTCAAAATAGGGCATCTGAGATACAGGTTTATTGAACGCAAACTCTTACAAAAGCAGATAGAAAGTAGTTGACTTGTTCTGATTATAAAATAGTAGACAAAATCTACTTAAGCTAAAGGGCATTCTCCCAGTCAGGGCAAATGAGTATGAAGTTTCCATGAATTAAATACAAACCAAGAGTAGCCAAAGAGACCAGAACACCCAAATAATTCTAAAATGGACCTTAAAACTTTTTTAACTGGACTACAGGACCTGGTTCCTGCAACCACAAAGGAAACTATCGGATAATCCAGAAAGTTGAACTCTGCTGTATTTCCATGGAAATGTGTTATCAAAATGTTTCTATAAGTGCATATTTTGGTAAAAGCTCCCTCACTAACAAAGGTACAGGGAAAATAATTCATTTTCTATTTAAGTAACAGATATAGGGATTTTAGAAAATCAAAACTAATATTCCCATGTTAGCATGGGTGTCCTGAGAACTACTGCATGAAGCTTGAGGCACTGAAAACAAACATAGAGAACTTATTATAGTGGACAGTAATCAAGGTCTATCAAATATGGCCAAAAAGACTGAACTTGAGGTGGTTTAATTCAATGAAGACAATATCAGAAAAATTACATGGTCAGATTCTTCTAAGATATGCAAAAGCTATTTCAAAGAGAAAGTTAATGGAATAATTTCTAGATTTAGGAATCTTGTTCTGAGACAGAACAAGAAGTAACAGGTATAAACTACATCAAGGGCAATAACATAAATATCTTAGAAAAAAAACTTTCCAATGGTGAGGATGTGCAGTACTTAGTCATACTTCCTTGGGACTCTATATAGTCTTCTGAGGTTTTAAAGATTATGCGGGACACATCTGTAGGAATATTGAAGCTCATATCTTGCCTTGAGGTAGAATGGTAAGCAGAGGACCCTTTCAGTTTTACTGCCTATGATACAGTGTTTCAGATTCTGGGAAAGGAAATTACAAATTTTACCAAGAGGTCAACTAAGGAAGAGAGTGTATGTTTGAGCGTGCTGACAGAATGACATCCTCAACTATGGGAAGTAGTAATCAGTCAAGCTTCAGGACTGACTGTTTCAGATTCTTGGGTAGCTCAGATGTGAAAGTTTGCCCCTGTATCTGCCTGCCAAAGAGGTGTCTGTTACGACCCCAGCTGAACAGCGATCAGCTTCTTGGGTTGACACTGGTGTAGGGCTATGTAGTGTTTCTGTCCAGTGCAGGTGGTAAAGCTGGCATGGCAGCTAAGAAAACGGGTTTTTTTTACTACTTAGTGACCAGAGCTAAGATGAAAGTTGTGTTCTGAAGAAAAAAGATACACAAATTAGTTTGGAATGGAGTAAGATATTCTGGGAGAAAGCTCCAAAAACCCCTGCAGTTCATACAAACCAAATCATTCTAATGAAGACATGCTTTTCTAAACTTGATTTTCATGTACCTGTCCTTGAAATCATGTGCAACAATATTCTGTATTACATTAAATTTAATAAATCTGATATTTTTATATATCCCTTCCAGATTCTTGTCACTCTTTGCTGGAAGACATGGACCAAAAATTTTAAGTTCCTTCTGATGAAGACAACAAATCAGAAAAAATTATCACATATGGAACCATTTTATATGTCCTGCAACTTTAGAGTTGTCTCTATATTCTTCCACACTCTTATTATTTCTTTTCAAAGTGTATTCCATTCTGTAAACTGTTATTCAGTATGTAATCCAGTGTTTCACCATTTCTAGGTCTGTAGAGAATCATCTGTCAAAAGCTTGACTACAGATTTACTCTCTCTGCGTCTTGTCTTCCATTGCTCCCTTGAGACTTCAGGCTCAGTATTTGGTAATCATATGAATAACCTCTTCTTGGATGAACTGCAATCTGAAGTCACTCTTTAAAACACCAATACATTCCTTAGCATCTAAGGATGGTAACATAGAATTGTAGAATCATAGACTGGTTTGGGTTGGAAGGGACCTTAAAGGCTGTCTAGTTCCAATCCCCTGCCATGGCAGGTACACCTTCACTGGATCAGGTTGCCCAAAGCCCCGTCCATCCTGGCCTGGAACACTTCCAGGGAAGGGGCAGCCACAGCTTCTCTGGGCAACTTGTTCAGTGTCTCACCACCCTCTCAGTAAAGAATTTCTTCCTCTTAGCTAATCTAAATCTACCCTCTTTCAGTTTAAAACCATTATCCCTCGTCCTGTCACTACAGTCCCTGATAGTGTATCACTTATTTTAATATGAGAATTGACAAAAATAAAATTACCAAAATTCACTCCTCCCCTTTCCTTATTCTTCCAAATGAATCACAGTTACAAATCTAACTTTATTTTGCAAAGCTATACAGAGTGACTATCTATTATTCTTACTTTACTCAGATTTGGAATGTAGAATTTAAGTTTGTAATTAGATTAAAGCATTGCATTATTATGCCCCCTTTTATAAACTTAAGAACAAAAATAATTGTCTTGTCTCACCATAAAACAGCACTTGAAACACACCTTGTCAGATTACAGATTTTCTGTGCTAATTCCAAAAAACCCTACTGCTATCTAGAGGACTGATCTGATTGATTTTAATTTAAATCAGTCCACAGAAATTGTGAGTCTGGCTTAAAATCTAAAACAGGGTCTTACAAAAGTTCTAGCAAAGTACTAAGCTGATCTAGTACTGGCTACCTTGACAGACTTGACAGGATCACAGCCCAAAACAGTATGGCATAATTTTATAAAGTAGCAAAGTACTGAGTTTAATGAGATAAAAAAACACTGTAACAGTACTTAATACTTTGTATGATAAATGCATTTGTCACCACAACACTCTGGACAGTCTGGGTGGACTCAAGCATTCATTCCATACCCGGGAGAGCATACCCTGTACCATTTGCAGAGTGCCTTCAATGTAGTATATTTGAGGCAATGGTTCAGAACTTTCCCTTCCCTTCTGTTTTAAGCAATAAGTTCCACTTATTGCTTGAAAAAATCTCTCTGTAAGATGTTTTGCCAAAATTGAAACAAATATTTTTTTCAGAATCTTTGATGGAAAGAGGTCAGAATACAAGAAAAGATAAAAGAATGTGAGTATGAGTTAGGATAAGATTTAAAGGATGTACCAATAAATCTTTTGATTGTAGCTGAATGGAAACAAGGGGACAGTCTGTTATTCTTGAATATGTTGGTTTTAATGTCTAGATAAACCCTGAGCAATTAATGCAATGTCTTTGAAAGTGCTCAGGATTATAAAAATAGGACTCTTAAAAGTTAATTCATGGTAATTTTGCCTACATCAGGCATCTGTAGCTCAGCATCAATAGACTTGCAGCCTCCCCATCTAGACAGGTACTATTATTTAGGTCCACTTATATTTCAGACATACTTTCCACCCTTATTATCTATTTCTATTCAATAAAAAGAATATGTCAAAGGATTCCTGAAGCCAGGTTAAATAGGTGGATTATCACTATTCTTCTTATTATATCAATTAAATATAAGCAGAGAAGACTAATTTCCTTACTCAAAAATATTTGCACAAATACAATCCTAGATAGGAAAAAATTTTCCTTTCAATCAGTGCAGAACCAGCAGCAAAGAATTGCAGAAATGTTGGGGTACAAGGGAGCTCTGTTACATCTGATCTACTCCATCTCCCTAGCCAAAGGCAATGTTTACTTTTTTCAAATCCTTTATTTTCTCAGGAATTTTGGACCACTTTTTATGAAGTGTCTTCCACTGGAATATTAATTATTTTAAGTCACAGTAGTTAAAAGTGTGACTTTTATCTGGCTGAAATATATAAAATATATAACAAAAAGTAGACCCATTAGCAGTCTGACAAAGTCTAACAGTAAATAGTATCAATGCTTCATATCCAGAGAGTGCTTCATTTGTATACAGGGATTAATTATATATATAGAAAGCTAAGAAGAAAAAGAAAAATACCCCAACACTTTAATAGGCTTGCATGGTTCAGTACACACACAAATTGACAAAACCAAATTTATTCATGCTCTCTTAATTTGATACTCTTGTCTGTACAAAGAAGATGAACTTTGATCATGAGCTTTCCCCACAAATTCAGGGTTTTTTTTAGTGGACAGGATAGAAAATGCTTAATGAGTACAATGTTATTTTAGACTCCCTCGCCCCTCTGCTGGAATCCCAAAGCATGATTTGCATGCCCGTGATTTCATGGTATTCCTCCTGTACTTCCTTTCTCCTTTCCCCTTTAAGAACCTCTGAATTAACAGTTAACCTACTAAGCAAGACTATGGCTTCTGTTTCCCTACCGTAAAAGCCAAACACCATCAAGCAGCTAAAATTCAGCCAGATCAATGATAAAATCACTGAAATAATGGAAAGACACTCCCACTGCAAAACAGCATGTTTGATATTTATAAGACAGTACATGTTTAAAATTTCCTGATTTTTCTTGCCCCTTTTCATACTTTCTAATTACAGACTGATAGTGTGATCTGCCTTATCCATAATGGCAATAAAATATTAGTAATTTTAACTGATACAAATTTTATTTCCACTAAAACTTTTACATTCATTTATTAATTTACTAAACAAAGTATGTTTCATTTTTTTATGTTATTATACTTTATTGTGAGAGTACCTTATTATGTCAGTTGCCTTTTTATTCTAACTGTACCTTGTTTAGTCTATGAGATGCATCACAAATGATTTGCTGACACAGTCTGTTGTGTTTATCTAAGGAAGCAAATCTAACAAAACATAGTCTGTTTATAGAAGAACAAAGTCAATGAGATTGACTTTTTTTTTTATTTTCTGGTTTAAGATACTAGTCAGTTCTGATGTAAGTATTTAGGACTTTTACCATATTTCTTGCAAAGTTTTAAAGAAATCATAGGGCTTGTCCTCTTATAGATATTGCATGTCTATTTCTAATTTTCAGTAGACTTAAATATTTCATGGGAACTGTAATTTATTTGTAAATTCTAATAGCAAGGAAATGTATAACTCTGGACTCTTCCCAGATTTATAAATACCTGAATCCTTTCAAAACAAATAAACTACTCCCTCTCTGATTACCTGTCTGCCATTGTGGTTTTACGAAGACTCAGGTTTTAAAACAGTCATCCAGAAACCCTAACAGTTCCAGCTTTTGATTGTTTCTGCAGTGGACTCATTTTCTCTCACAGTAAATCAATCAATCAATCAATCAATCAATCAATCAATCAATCATTATCAATCAATCAGGGCACTGTCTAGTTCTTTTTAAGATTTTCCCTGCTCCCACCCCCTGCACAAACACATCAGTTTCTGAGTGTCACCCACTCAACCCTTTACATCTTGTAGTAATGCCTGTGACACACAGAACTGAAGGAAGACTTCCAAGTATGTACTGAAGAAAAAGCATAGTTACATTTTAGTAATCCATTTGCATGGGTCCACATTCCTCATCAACTGACTAGTACTAACATGTTATGGTGAAAGCTTGGGAAATAGTTAACAAAGCTGCTGGACTGCTCTCCAGAACTGACATTAGAGTAAGGTGCCATGTAAGTAATGGAAGTAATTCTGAAACACCAACTGCTACTTAGAAAATAAAAATTACTTTCTAAGACTTCAAGCTACTTAAGAACATGTAGTTTACCAGTGGGTTGTATCAAAGTTTACATCCACCTAAATCTCTAACTGGATAACTTCTCCTTCTAGTGCTCAAATATTCTGTAAAACCTACATATTGGCTAAATCTCATTTATGTAGTCTCAGTAACCTTAAAATGAACCTTAACTAACTACACTATCAGTAAAGAGACTCTTCAGATATGACAGTGCTATCCACTTGTCATGGTTAACCCCAGCCAGCAACTAAGCACCACACAGCCACTTGCTCACTCCTTACCCCTTCCAGTGGAATGGGAAGGAGAACTGAAAAAAAGTAAAACTCATGGGTTGAGATAAGAACAATCTAATAGCTAAAATAAAATATATTTTTTTAAAGTAATAAAAAGGAATATAATTTTTAAAAATAAATAAAACCCAAGAAAAGACAAGCGATACAGAGTGCAGTTGCTCACCACCCACTGACTGATGCCCAAGCAGCGATAAGCCCCGCCCCACCCAGCTCCCCCCAGTTTATACACTGAGCATGTCGTCCTATGACATGGAACATCCCTTTGGCTAGTTCAGGTCAGCTGTCCAGGCCATGCTCCCTCACAGCCTCTTGTGCACCAGCTTCCTGGCAGAGCATGGGAAGCTGAAAAATCCTTTATTTAGGATAAGCAGAATTTAGCAACAACTAAAACATCAGTGTGTTTTCAATGTTATTCTCACACTAAATCCAAAACACAGCAGTGTACCAGCTACTAGGAAGAAAATTAACTCTATCCCAGCTGAAACCAGGGCACCACTACAAATAAAGTTTTCAGAGAAACAAAACTAATAGTTTCATTGTTTTTATATGCAATGATATTTAATTTTCATGAAAATTAAAACTGGAAAGTGGAAAATGAAGCAAATTGAAACACTTTGTTCAGAAAGGGATTTTTTTCAAATTGCATGTCTTGCTACACAGTGACTAAGCTAATATAACATATGAAAACAATAGCTTTTTTAGAGCTGAAATAATTAGATGCAGTAAGTTCAAGAAAATATTGCAGATGTTCTTATATACATTCAGCTCAACAATCATAAATGACATCTCTTCAGATTTTAGGTATCTCTTTTGATAACAAAGTACTTCAAGTGAACTGAACATTGGAAGGGAGAGCCACCCTGCAGGAAGACCTGGATAGGCTGGAAGAGTGGGCTAACAAGAACCTTATGAAAGTGCAGCAAAGACAAATATAAGGTCTTGCACCTGGGAAAGCATACTCCAGGAGTGCAGCACAGGCTGGGATCTCCCTGGCTGGGGAGCAGCTCTGCAGAAAGGTACCTGAGGGTCCTGTTGGACAGCAAGCTCGAGTGAACAGTGTGCTGCAGCGGCAAGAAAGCCAACAGGATGCTGGGCTGCATCAACAAGGACATCACCAGCAGAGACAAAGAAGTCGTTATCCCGCTCTACTCAGCGCTTGTCAGGTCACACCTGGAATACTGTGTTCAGTTTTGGTCCTTGCTATACAAAAACGATGTGGACAGGCTGGAGAGCATTCAGAGAAGGGCCACAAAGATGATCAAGGCACTGGGAAGCCTGACAGGTGAGGAAAGGCTGAGAGAACTGGGTTTGCTCAGCCTTGAGAAAAGAAGGCTTAGGGGAGACCTTACCACCATGTTCTAGTATTTAAAGGGTGGCTACAAGAAGATGGAGACTACCTTTTTACAAGGAGTCATGTGGAAAAGGAGAGAAGTAATGGGCACATATTACTCCTGGGGAGATTCCAACTGGACGTAAGAGGAAGAACTTTCACAATGAGAACAATTAGCCTTTGGAATAATCTCCCCAGGGAAGTGGGGGATTCCCCAGCAATGGACCCTTTCAAGATTCGGCTGGACAGGGTGCTGGGCCATCTTGTCTAGACTGTGATTTTGCCCAGAAAGGCTGGACCAGATGATCCTTGAGGTCCTTTCCAACCTGGTATTCTGTGATTTGATAATTTTTGTCAACTGAGTTTTACCCAGGTCTCCTTTAGTCTCCTTTTGTTTTAATGAAATGGAAAATTATGAAAATTATTATTTTATTGTTGCCGCTTAAAGAAGGAAAAGTACTGAGGTTCATCTATTTTAACTTTAGTTCTTGAAAATTAGACACCCAGCCTTAGTCTGTCATTTGGAAGCTATTTATAAAGACCAAGGCACATCCATGGAGTGATTTATACACCTGTTGTATAAATGATGAAGGTCATCTGGAGAGTTACAGAATGCACTGTATCACTTTCCTTCCTATGTTAGTGTGCAACAAGGGACATGGTAATGTTTTATGATACAAAATTAAAAACACATTGATCTACCCACAGCTATAAAATGTTCTAATGCTCTTCTGAAATAATATAAAATATGCACTTTTGAGTAGATTAACTATCTTTTTGCTATTGGCATGAATTTCACATGCAATACTTAGAAGCATTTTCACAATCAAGAAACTTTTTTATTAGACACTTACAGTACTTTCTGTATATAAACAGTAAATACATTCCATTAACTATAAAAATTCTAATCATTCTTTAAAAACAAGGCAGAGTTTTACCTGAAAATATAAAGATTTCATTCTGTAGACCTCCTCTCTGCATTTTTACATTATGGCATTCTGACTTAATTAATGCAAACTCACAAGAAAGTTCAGCAACAAATTCGCTTAGTATCTGAAGCAATGCCTTCTCAAAAGAAGTGTTACGAGAACTGTTGCACGAGGCTGTGTGATACCAAGCTGTGAACTCATAGTAATTTTCAGGATCAGAGTAAGCTGCAGGAAAATATGTGCAAGATGATGAGGAACACAAATGAAGTAAAAACAAGAGAATTAATTTGTGGATTTGGAAAAAAAAAAAAAATAAATTGCCAATTTAAATCCTTAATTTACAAACAAAACCTATTTTGCATACCCAGAGAATTTTTAATGATAAAATAGTGTATGCTGGGTCAACTGTAAACACTTAAAAGATTTTTACAAGCCAACATTCTTATTTATATCCACGGGTAAGTATTATTCTTTATTACTGTCATCTTAAAATTTTTAAACCCAAATGAGATTACAGTAAAGGGATCAGGAATATGAATGCTAAGGTTAAGAAGCATACAAAATACCCTTTAGTATGTGGCACAATATTTCATCTCACACATTATGGGCAGTTATAGTATGTTACATATTTTTTAGTCAACTATCACAGAAGTATTTCAAAGGGCTTAAAATCTGAATCCTCTTCCCCAGAGATCAACAGAAGATGAGCTAAGATGAACAGGAACGCCTTCTCTGTGAGCAGAAGTAACCAAAAGAGCTTCCATATAGGTATGAAATTTACTTTTATGGATGCGTCAGCTACTTCACCTTCACTGCAAAGCAAAATGCACACCTGGACGTCTTTTACAAATAAGCCATAAAAAGCGTGTTTCTAGTTATTTCATGATAACCACTCACCCAAAGTTGAAGATCAACAGAGCACAATGTTAAATAGAAGATAGGAGCAAAAAATGAAGAACAGGGGTCATAATGTGGGTATAATCACAGAAATGAGAAGGGGGCAGTGGGGAAGAAAGAACAAAAGAAGAGAAACAAAACTAGCTGGAAGAAGTAGAACATCCAGAATACGGTGCCCAGTTAAGACAGCTCATAAGATCCTTCACCTTGCTTTTGCCTCCCTCATTTCCTTTCCTTTGGATATGTGTCTGAAACTTGAATTTTCTATGCTGACATTCAGAGTGATCCTTATTGAAGAATGTAAGCCTGCATTACTGAAAACTGTAACCTTTTCCACCAAAACTGTTTCAAATAAACTTCCTCCTTTCCACTTCTGTCAAGCAAGTTAGCTGCTAAAGGCATGGTTATTCTGTATGAAGGCTACTGTGCCAAAGTGAAATTAATTTACATCAGAGTTTAATTTAGGTTATTGTGCTCTACCATGTTTTTAAATGAGCACTGGTACGCATTTTAAATTCAAGATCAGATATAGTTCCTGTTGAAGGCAATAGGAGCTCTTGCCTGCTTCTCCACAAGAATAAAATACCCTTTAAAGAAGAAAAGGAGAGCTAGTAATGAATAAATTATGTTGCCTTTACAATCTTTCACTTTATCAAAGCCTTTTTACCTGCTGACAGAAGGAAATGTAATCAGAACAGGAAAGAATAAGCTACAAATATTACATTGTTAAATGATATGTACTTTAAAAACATGATCAGGTCATAATTGAGGCATTAACATGTGAAATAAATCCATATGGCTATGCTAATCTCATAAAGAATAATTCCATTTAAAATTATGGTATCTTAATGTTATTAAGGATTACTGCCTATTCGTTACATTTCATTATGTTTTATGTTTCTTTTTTAAGACGAACCGTATTGATAAGTTTCTCAGGCAGACACCGAGCTTCATTTAAGGCTCTGTAAATGACTTTAAATGAACTGCCTGGTAGTAACTAATATTAAAAACAATTTCCCAGAGGAACAGAATGTCTTTATCTCTGCAAATTAAATTCTAAATAAGCCTACTTACTTAAAAATAGCAACACATATTTTAAAAAATAAAACTTTTTCAAGGCAACAACACACTTACCTGGACTGATAATTTACCATAAATATATTTTATTATGAGTTTTTTTATCAGGTTGCATTGCTGTTAGATTATAAACAATGGAACAAGTGTAAACTCCACCCAAATTGAAGTGTCTCAGTGTTAAAGTTCCCGTTGGTGATATTTGCACACTGCTGTTTTCTAGTAAACACAATAATTAAATAAATTTAGTTGTCATCATGAGAAAATGCAGAAAATAAGGATCCAAATGGTTATTTACTGTTAAGATGTGCACAAAATAATAATATTTTGGATTATGCTGAAGGCACAGGACGCAGAAACTGAAGCTGATTGGGTGTCTCAGTTCAGCATTATACAAATATGCCTTATTGCTGCTGGTTTTTTAAGTACTGGTTGACAAAGCAGTCCTAGAAACCAGACTTTATTTGATCTCAGGCATCTATTGTCCTCTCCAATAACCACTTCCAAGAGAAAAAAAAAAAGGAAAAAAAAAGGGACAAAGTGGACAAATGTGGAGGATGGAGGAAGCAAACAGTCGATTCAATGTGAATGATAGAGCAAGCTTCAAGTTTATTGAAAGAAATCACACCTTATATAAGCACTCTACAATAACCATGCATACTACTCACAAATCTATTGGATACATGTAAAAGGCTACATTATAATATCCCAGCCCCTTGAGGCATTTCAGGTATGTCACAACATCTTCCCTCTTCTGCCTGCCTTCTTTCCCAAGGTTGTTTTTACCATCATACTCAAGGCCATTGTGTACCTCAGTTTCTCTCTTTGTTAACAGTCCTTTGTTAGCATAACTGTACCCTGGGTTTTTTCCTTTGTTTACCTCAGATGGCTGCAATCAGCTCCTGCAGAGACCCATGGCCTTGCTCTCTGCAAACCATTCTCCAACAGACAAATATCTTTTTATACCTCTATATAGTCAAACTGATTACTAAGCTTTCAGTCTTCAGGAATTGCCTCGTGAATTAGGTGCTGGTGGTGTTTAACATGCAGTAAACTTCAAAGTAGGCAAGACAGGAAGTTCAAGATAAGCAAGTACTGTATAACAGACCTTCCAAAAAATTCTATGTATATGCCAAAATGAGAATCATGTATGTTTAAGATTGTAAAATAATCCTTCTGATATACATTGTTATAGTGGCCAAACTCAACACAACTCCTTAGTTCAAGGCAAACAGGAAGTACGATCCTACTTCAAAAGATAAATCATGAGCATGGCTCTTTAACTAGGTTTTTAAAGGAAAGAACTGCTTAAGGTCAAATGTGTGCACTGATAATGAGCCATACAGTTGTCCCAAGCAGCCCGCCTGTGGGTTACAAGATGACAGCTGATGAGTTGTTTCTTGACTTGAAAAGTCCTCAGGCAGTAACAATATAGATAACAGGTTTCTCAAACAGTAGCATGCAGCCCATCTTGCTGTCAAAGAAAACCTTGGGAATCACTAGATCAGAATCAACTGTAGTAGATTTCAAGGTAAAATACTCTTTTTCATAAAATATTTTGAGAATGAATTTTTGTTTCCATTTTCAGATGTCAGACAAAATTCTTTTTAACATCCTAAATAATTTAGACCTTTTATGTAGAAGATACAAGCTTAGACAATTAGTGTTGTGCAAAAGCAGCGTATTTTTAGACTGAAAAAATCAATGCTAAAGACATGAGGTCTATACTACACACATTTTAGGGCTTTTACTTCAGACCAGTCCTAATCCGATTTTACAGACTGAGCATAATTATTTCTCAAAGCAAATCTTTCTCATTAGCTTTATCCAAAATGAATCCAGTTTGTGCACTCAAAGACCAGACCACAATTCAAACAAAATGTGCTAAGTGAGTACAATCAAGCAATTCACTTCAAAGCCACACTCCTATTCAAACTAACTTGTTACTGTAGATGCATGCTGATCTTCCTGGTATGCGATTCTAAGAAAGATACTGAGAAAAAGATAGCCTGATTGAAGTGCATCTGTTTACATACTTGGCAGGATGGTGTAGGACAACTTTGTTCCTCAATAAATCATTTAGGCTTTTAATTAACTTAATTTTGTCATATATATCACTGTGTTAAAAAAAAAAAAATAATAATCAAGTGCTAGTAAAAGAGTACTACTAGAAAGACTGAAAGTGCAAGTTCTTTGACAAGAATGGTTTGGGATCCCATATAAACCTAGGCTCTCAGATTAATGCCACACTGTCTTTCATTTTTTGGATGATTAAGAGGTTTTTAATCTGATGATGAACTACTCTGGCTGTTAAGTCTAGAATAGTCCAAATAACTAGGATGTTATTTGCTACTGTATACTGCAACAGTTATCAGATTCATAAGATCAGAAAAACAGCATAGATTTAAGAACTATTATAGTTCTGATCTTTGGTGTATGCAACTGCCCTGTGTGGGCCAAAAGCAACAACACCATTAGTTGACTGGATAGCTGGACCACCTTTGAGCTATATCACAGACAGCTTTGCTATAGTTATAAAATGCATTACTGAACTGCAAAGATGACAAGAAGTCTGTAAAAGACAAAGCTTGGAAATCCAGTGAAGAGATCTGGTCGCAAGCATTTTTTGAAAGTACATCAGAAGATCTGGGAAAGTAAAGTGTTCTTCTGATGGACTGAGTCACTGACTTTATTCAAGGTAAGATAAAATTGTATAATAATAAATGCTTCATATACCAGAAAAGAACAGAATTTTTACATAGTAACCATTAATTCTATTATTGTTATGTCTGTGTGTAAAGTATCTTCTTTTGGATCATGAAATCAAGAGCCTGTCACATTGGGGTTTTTTCCTAGTGTTATAAAAGAAACCACACTTAAAATGCCTTGCTCCACAGGATTATTTGGATGAATACTGCCTAATCACATGAGTTTAGGTTCAGTAAACAGACTGTTATCTTGAAAACAAAATTTTTTAAGTGATAAAGCTATCCACCCTTTTCCTAAATCTAATCTTTTTTCCATGTTATTCCTCTCCAGCAAGTTCACTCAGACAGGTGAGCAGGATTTCACATCACAAAATGTGATGTGAATTACATTATATGATTTAATATGCCTCTATTGCACAGAAGGCATTTTCAGAGAATCACAGAATCATCTAGGTTGGAAAAGACCTTGAAGATCATCTACTCCAACCATTAACCTAACACTGACCCTTCACAACTACACCATATCCCTCAGCATTACGTCGACTCTACTCTTAAACAACTCCAGGGATGGGGACACTACCACCTCCCTGGGTAGCTATTCCAATGCCCAACAACCCCTTCCGTAAAGAAATGATTCCTAATACCTAGTCTAAACCTTCCCTGTCACAACTTGAGGCCATTACCTCTTGTCCTATTGCTTATTACTTGGTTAAAGAAGCTCATCCCCAGCTCTCTGAAACCCCCTTTCAGGTAGCTGTAGAGGGCGATGAGGTCTCCCCTCAGCCTCCTCTTCCCTAGACTAAACACACCCAGTTCCCTCAGCCGCTCCCCGTACGACCTGTGCTCCAGACCCTGCACCAGCTTCGTTGCCTTTCTCTGGACACTCTTGAGTAATTCAATGTCCTTTTTGTAGTGAGGGGCCCAAAACTGAACACAGTAATTGAGGTACGGCCTCACCAGTGCCGAGTACAGGGGTAAGATCACTTCCCTGTAAGTTTTTGTCCCTACATTCATGATGGGCAAAAAGTAATGTGATCAAGTTCAGAGGTTCCCTGGAATCAGTGAAAACTGGCATGATTTAAAACAGAATAGAAGAGGTTTTTAAATTTATGCTAAGAGAGGAAGCTATAAAATTTTCCAGGATCCTCAGGAATTAGAAAGATGCCCAACAGAGCTATTCCTGTGAGAATATTTACAGAGACTAAATCCCTTAATTTTCTATACACTTGTATAATTATATTTAAAACTAAGTGTTCCTATATTTCAGTTTCTCTGTTTACTAAAGCCAACAGATTGATTCTCCTTCCATTTCTTTCAGTGCAAAAAAATAGTTACTCCCCATCCTCCCACCCCATCTCTTATTCAGACCAGTTCTATAGCAGAGCATCTTCTGTATTTTGAAATATTATATTAAGAACAAAATTAAATGACAGCAGAGTCAGACCAATGGGCTTTTCAGAAACAGGTTTTTCAGAGATTTAAAAACAGCTGTCAATCCAGATCATAAATTCTAATCTTCAGATTAAACTACTGAGCATGTTCAAATTTAAATATGCAATATCTAAAGATGTCCAATAGGTAAATTCAGTAAATAATTACGCATGTACAGAAGCAAAAGATAACACGGTATATAATAAACTTGAGTTCACCTGAAAATGTTTTTAGGAATGAAACATACTGTTCTGCAGTACAGACATGACTCTGACAGTCCCTCAGGAAACATGTATAAATCATGTATCAGTTGTAAGGATAGCAGGAGTATACAGATATCTACTAAAAGCAGCTTCATATTTCTTCTGATTCTCTTTCCTTCCCTCTTCAAAGAACCGTTTGATATACCAATAGTAGCTTTTAGAATATCTGGGGTTTAGCTTGTAGTTGAGAGGTTGAGTGCAGGTATTTAGTGTTGCTTTGTTTTATAGAACTATAGTGCACACTTTTTTCAGTCCTATGAAAGGACAGTTACAATCTTCCAACACAAATATTCCTTCTATGCATATGATGGGTGGCAGTGTGTATGAAAAGCAGTATTTTCCTGTACGTCCAGATTCCTAGGTTCATTTTCACCAAACTAGAACAGGCCTATTCTAATGTTTTAATCTGTCAGTAAAGATTTAAATGTTTACTCTTTTCTCTTCTATTTAGCTGTTCAGAACACCACCAAAAATGCTGTGTTACGCAGTAAAATTTTAAGATCTAGAATATAAGAAGCAATTATTTTGAAGTTTTTTTCCTCCACTTAAAAATATATTTTGAAAACCCCTTTTTCCCAACCAGCCCAACAGCTGTTTAAAAACTTCAAAGTACAATTTCCAGATCTTAGTACAGAAAAGTCACTGTGCTAAGTGAAGAAAAATGACTTGCTAATTTTGAAGTTGTAATGATTTAAAATTACATTTTGTGCAGTATTTAATTTTTCATTACTCTTTCAACTGCACATGAGTGGAACTATCTGTGAACAAAACTGCTTGTTCAAGAAACAGAACTGGTTTTTAATGGCTACAGAAAGAAGTGTTTATTGATCTTTGTGAGCTTTTACTGTAGTCATGATGTATAATGTATATAGCCAGACAGACTTTAGGGTCACAAACCACCTTCATAGTGTGTGTGTCAAGGGCTGAAAGAGAATCTGATTTTTCTATGACAGACAGTACAATGAGAGGTAGGCTCTCTTCCTACAAATTTTATGCTTGAATACTTGCATTTATTTTGAAGTGTCCCAAGAAGCAGTATATTGTTAGTCCTTCCTAAAACTTGATTCACAGTTCTACATTTCCACTGAAATTATTTTCTTTCTTACAACCACACTGAAAGAGTATGAAATAATACATCAAGCATTGTTTATGAATCCTAATTTCCCACTGTTATAGAGTTTTGCTAGGACAGATATTAGAGACTAACTAGTCACACCAAAATTCAGATAACTTTTACCACTTAGAGAGGATTACACCCATTCTAAAAGGAGGCCAAGTGATCAATTTCTTTTACATAGCAAACATTTAATGAGCTAGAAACTTAGTAGCTTTTTGTTTGGTTATACTTTCATTGAGTAAAAAAAAAAAAATAAAAAAAAAAAGTGGGGGGGACAACAGCCCTAGGATACCAAGAAGTATCTTTGTTGTATTTATCAAAAATTGTGGTGGCTGAAGCTGAAGTCCTCTCATTACCACTTTTAAAAAATATTTTTTTCTTAAACCTCTCTCATCCCTATAGAAAGTTATGTCAGGAAAGCATAAGTTTTCTTCTCTTACTGAAATATTTTTTGCCCCACTGCTGATGATTTGGGTACACTGAAGTTGCCACAGAGGCAAGAACCCCTACCACTATAGCTTTTTTTGCTAATGAACAAAGGTTGGCATAACAACTTGGGATACTACTGAAGCAACCTGCCTGAAGAGCTTTAAACTTATCAACTGGAAGAAGTCTTGACATCTTCACGGTTTTCTGTTCTACACTGTTGAAACTGCAGTTTGAGTAAACAGAAGCCAGAAGAGCGAAAGGGGCAATTTTTGTTAATTGTGAATCAGAAGGTTGTCTTCTGTATGATCAAATTAAGCTCAGCACTTAAACATATGACAATACACCTGATACTGTGTCTGTCATGCATCGCAGACTGGGCATCAAAATACACCAGTTACAATGCAGGACACTCAGCTAACCAGAATATATCCATCCCAAGGGAGATTAGCAGTTTTGTGTAAAACAACACAGCCCACGGGCTTAAGTACAAGCAAAACTACCAATACCAGTTGAAGCAAAAAATGCTAAAAATTATCAGGGCCAAGTCTGTTGTCAGATTCAGAGCAAAAACACAGGGTAGTGTTAGATAACATGTAAATGTGAAATGCTCTCTATGAAGGTTGGCACGTAGAGGATTAAGAATGAAAAATCACTATGGTGTAAATGGTATTTCAGATTGTGCAACACAAAAATACGAGTCCAAGGACAGAGTTCTGATAGACACTAGTATAGACTAAGAGGAGAGCAAATAGGATTTGGAAACACTACCATTGTAAAAAAAAAAAAAAAGAATGGTTCATAGCCCAAAGTGTAAACTAAAATAAAAAATTAAACAGTTTTATAAATTCATCACAATGCTTATTGTTCTTTTTAAAAATGGAATTACACTAAAGGTGAAATGAGACCTACATGGAAGGAAACAAAAAACAGAACTTGATCTTCCTGCTCAGACTTGGAAACATACTGCTGATGGGCCAGTCATGATCTTTAAGCAATATGAGAAAAATAACATATGCACAAGTAGCCCAACATACTCCATGCAGAAACAATGATTTGGGGGTTTCATGCCATATCAGCAAACTAGGACAATTATTTCATTAGAAGCATCTTTCTGAAAAAGAATTTTAAAATTCTCCATGAGCAGATTCTTTAGAAGTTGAAACTGGCAAGGGATGTGAAGAACAAACAGAAACACATGCAATGGAGGAAGGGCAATAAAAATGTTGGCCCCAGACTGAATGGGGCTAAATGACCTAGTGACAAATGACATGGAACATACTGAGGTATGCAACGCTACCTTTGTTTCACTCATTCCTAGCAAAGGCTGCTTTCCAGCTCTGCTCCAACTCCTACCACAGTTTAGGGGAGATGCTACAGGGAGAGAGAAGTGTAGTGTTAGACCCTTACTTAAGTGAGCTGGACATATACTGGTTTATACACCAGAATGAGATATATCTGAGGATGATGAGTGAGCTAATAATGACCGTTGTCTATTTTGATGGTGATGAGGTTCCCAATGACCAGGAAGACAGAAAAAATACATCCATCATAAAACTAGGCAAGGAAGACCACTCAGGGAATCACAGTTCAGCCATCCTCACCTCAGGCCCTTCAAAAATGATAGAACTGCTGGAAGTAATTTCCAAATGCTTGAATGACAAGACAGTGATTGAGAACAGGGAGCATCATTTTGCCATTGGCAAATCATGGCTGACCAGCTGGAGTGTCTTCTGGAATTAAATGACTGCTTCTGAGGATGAAGAGAAAGCAGTAGATGTCATAGACACTGAAAGCCTTTAGCAAGGATTTCAATATGGTCCTCCACCACATCCTTATAGCCCAGCTGCGGACATACAGACTAGATGAAAGATGGATGAAAATCTGTCTGCATCATCATTTTGAAGACTGGTCTACCTCACAGCCAGTTTTGAAGGGCTGATAAAAGCATCAGAACTGCTTAACATCTTTACCGCTGACCTACACCACAGGACTGAATGCCTCCTCGTTCGGTATGCCAAAGACATGCAATTGGCGGGGGGCTGCTACACAACAGGACATGGCTGCCCTTCAGTGGGACCTTGAATGACAGTCTGCCAGAAAACTCATCAAGTTCAACAGTGACAAATGCAAAGTCCTGCACCTGGGACAAAATAAGAGCAACAATGTATGCTACTGGGCACCCGATGACTTGGGAGCAACCCTGCAAAAAAAGTACCTGGGAGTCCTTGTGGATTTTAAACTGAATACAGATCAGAAGCATACTTTTGCAGCAGTGAAGGCTAACTGTATACTGGGCTGCATTGGCAACTGTATACCCATCAGGTCAAGTGAGTGCTAAGGAGGGAGAGAATAATCACTTCATTTGGGCAGTCTAGAACACTCTGCCCAATTTTGACTCCTCAGTACAAGACAGAAACTAACAAAGTGGAGCAAGACAACAAGAAGGTTTCTGAGATGATTAGGGAGTTGGAAGCACAGGACAAGAGGCAAAGGAAACTGAAATTTTTACGCTAGAAAAGTTTAAGGAGAGAATTGCAGTCCTTCACTAACTAAGGGGAAATACAGGGAAGAATAACCCATACCTTTTAAGAGGTACACCACAAAAGGAGAAGCAACAATGATGACGTGGCAATAAGGGAAATTATGATTGAAAATAAAATATCAAGAGGAACAGGTTGCACAGAAATGATGGAAAATCTTCAAGGACAGAGATTCTCCAAGCTCAAGTGGTCAAGACCCTGAGCAACTTCATATCTGAAGGTAGCCTGTCACTGAGCAGGCAGTTGGGCTATAGATCACCGCCCACCATCCTATTATTCTCTTCACAGAATGCTCCCAGCTGTCTCAGTGCTGCAAAGAATGTCATCCTCAGCCTCTGTCAAACCCAACATGCCCTGCTCCACCTAGCACTCTTTAGAGATGGCACCATTCCCTAGAGACCTGCAAATGTGCTTTAGTTTTGTTATCCCACCCCTTCCTTTCTGAAAAGTGAAAGTTAATTTACATGATATACATACAAACACAATGTATCTCAGTTACTTCTCCATTTACATTCCCACCTTTATAACACTCATGCTTCTTTGGGGGGAGCAAGGAAGGAGGAGAGAGGGTGGGGAGGAATATGTAAGAAAATAAATCCTTACCTGAAGAAATACCACCACGTGGTCCATTCCACTGAAATACTGTGTCAATCAGTTCTATGTTTCACAAATGATTTGTCAGACATAAAATACATGGACCGCTGTGATTCAGCCTGACATAAACTTTGGCTGAAAAAAATTATCATTAGCATCAAGTATTTATCAGTGGTATCCTAACAGTGAGTTATAAAAATTTCAAGACACCGGTTCAGCAATGACCTTGAATGGAGTTCTGATTTGAGACTGATTCTGTTATCTCTGCTATCAAAATGAAATACCAAATACACATCAGGTTTATTTTCTCCAGAAATGGAGGGTCGGAAGGATGATCTGGGAAATTACAGGCCTGTCAGCTTGACTTTGGTGCCCAGGAAGCTGATGGAGCAGCTCATCCTGAGTACCATCATACAACATGGGACATGTAGGACAACCAGATGATCAGGCCCAGTCAGCATGGGTTTATGAAAGGCAGGTCCTGCCTGACAAGCCTGATCTCCTTCTACAACAGGGCGACCTGCTTGTTGGATGAAGGAAAGGGTGTGGATGTTGCCTACCTTGACTTTAGCAAGGCCTTTGACACCATTTCCCACAGCATTCTCCTGGCAAAACTGGCTGCTCAAGGCTTGGATGGGCACACGCTTTGCTGGTTAAAAATCTGGCTGGATGGCCGGGCCCAAAGGGTTGTGGTGGAGTTTTAAATCCAGTTGGCGGCCAGTCACTCGGTTTTGGGGACACTCCTGTTTATCAACTTTACTGATGATCTAGACAAGGGGATTGAGTGCACCTTCATTAAGTTTGCAGATGACACCAAGTTGGGTGGGAGTGTTGATCTGCTCGAGGGTAGGGAGGCTCTGCAGAGAGACCTGGACAGGCTGGAGCCATGGGCTGAGGCCAACTGGAGGAGTTTCAATAAGGCCAAATGCCAGGTGCTGCATTTGGGCCACAACAACCCCCAGCAGTGCTACAGGCTTGGGGAGGAGTGGCTGGAGAGCTGCCAGTCAGAGAGGGACCTGGGGGTGTTGATTGACAGCCGGCTGAACAGGAGCCAGCAGTGTGCCCAGGTGGCCAAGAAGGCCAATGGCATCCTGGCTTGTGTCAGCAATAGCGTGGCCAGCAGGGACAGGGAAGGGATCTGATACCTGTACTCGGCACTGGTGAGGCCACACCTCAATTCCTGTGTTCAGTTTTGGGCCCCTCACTACAAAAAGGACATGGAATGACTCAAGCGTGTCCAGAGAAGGGCAACGGAGCTGGTGCAGGGTCTGGAGCACAGGTCGTACGGGGAGCGGCTGAGGGAACTGGGGGTGTTTAGTCTGGAGAAGAGGAGGCTGAGGGGAGACCTCATCGCCCTCTGCAGCTACCTGAAAGGAGTTTGCAGAGATCTGGGGATGAGTCTCTTTAACTGAGTAACAAGAGATAGGACAAGAGGTAACGGCCTCAAGTTGTGCCAGGGAAGGTTTAGACTAGATATTAGGAATCATTTCTTTACAGAACGGGTTGTTAGGTGTTGGAATGGGCTGCCCAGGGAGGAGGTGGAGTCCCCATCCCTGGAGGTGTTTAAGAGTCAGGTCAACACAGCGCTGAGGGACCTGGCTTAGTTAGGAAGGGTCGGTGTTAGGTTAACGGTTAGACTAGATGATCTCCAGGGTCCTTTCCAACCTAGATGATTCTGTGATTCTGTGAAAATAAAACTAAGATCATTCTTTCTAGTTCTAGGCTTTTCTGGCTATGTAAACAACAAGAACAGAGCACTGTAACATCCTCCCAAATGGATTATGTCACTTAGTAGATTCTCACGAGCACAGGCTTCTGCATTGTTCTGTCTCAGCTGGTGTCCAGCACACCCCTGGAGAGCGTGAAGTTGCAGTATGTTGGTCCAGGATACTCAAGACTTGAAAGCTTATATTTTCCATTCTATTACCAATTGTCTTTTACCAATACATAATGTATTTGCTTAAAAAGGGTTTAGTGTTGTAGCTCACTTAATGGTGAGCTGTCTATCATTTGATTCAGAGATTATGCGATAGGTAAGGATTTACTTAGTTGTTTCCCACAGTAAAGCAGGTATGCCTGTCTTGTATGCGATTTGTAGCATACAGGTGCTTCCAGATCATCAATTGTTTCTAAAAACTACAATTGATGTAGGCATAATCACTTCCATAATGTGCAGGATTTCAGTATGCACAATTTGGTTTATTTTCCATCCCACTGACATTCTGCAAAGCATTTCTCCTCTTCAGAAGTATGGGATGATAGATATTTACACTCTAGTGAGATCTAAACTTGAATATATCATGCTCTGTGTCAGGCTTCCCTAATGCCACTGAAAAGCTACAACTGTTATAAAATATTACAGCTACAACATTTGTGATTTGGAGAACGTGATTAGTAATTAAACTTAATCAAATAAGCAAACTACCACAATGTTACTTACCACTGACTATTTCAGATTCTCTGCAAGTGGAAAACAGTTTAAGTATTTGTTGCAGGAAAGGATTAATGCTGAGGTAAAGTTTTTACTTTTCTATTATGGCAACTGGTGGTAATGCCACCAGTTTTCTCTTCTCTCCAAGTATGATTGTTCACCTTCATTAAAAAATTAAAAGCCACTTATATTCACATTACCATATTAAGTTGTTTAATCAGAATAAAGACTTAGATATAGCATTTAATACACAAGAATAACTTCAGAATTTTGATAGTCTTAAGATCAGTATATCCATCCCAGCTAATAATCAGTATTTTACAGTAGCTAATATTGCAATAAAGAGCAAAGTATGTATTTCAACTGTACAAAATTGTATACACTGCCTATCTCTCCCACTTCACATTTTGTCTTTTATTTCCTCAAAGTGGCTTTGTTCCGTCATATAGTAATATGGAAAAAAATTAGATATCCATTCTAAAAAGTAACAAAATTATGGTGTCATTATTATCATAACCTGCCAAGATGGTAAAGTCTGTTCTACCACTGTTAATTTCCATGACAGTTTTGTAAGCATGTGTCAGGGAAGGCAGCTGGTCTGCCAATAACCTGATTGAAGAGGAGTTTGACCTTGACAAGATTCCGGTGTACTCTTGAGATAGGGAAGCCATGCTTCAAGCAAATAACTTTCAAGGAGCTGCTGACTACATAGCAGGATGAAGCAAGCAGGGAGAAACTGATAAAGGTTATCCAATGAGAATGTTAAAAACAACTTTTTGACCAATTATATTGTGAAACTCTGGCACCTGAAATATATAAAAATGCATGCTTTTAGTAATAAAAAAACCTAGCCGCTTGTTCACCCATGTGAGTGTGTGTCGCTTTGTCTGTCTCTGCAGCGACAAGCATGTATCATAGGATACAGAAGAGCATCTGATATAAAACAATGGCTGAAAACATGTCTACCAGGTACAACCTTATTCTTCTTGCTTTCAAAATAAAGTCTTAGTCTTTTAATTAAAGTGTTTTGCTATTTTTCTTATCTGTTCATATTCTCTCCATTACAAAAATATTTTACCTTAAATGATCTTTTTTGGATCACTATCTATGTCAGGTATTTTAAAACTGCAGGATTTTAAAAGTGAAGATTGTATTTAACCAAATGTTGGTAAAAAAAAAAAATAAATAATAGTCTCAAAATAGAGATGTTGCCCATTATCTCAAAAGAACACCGGAGCCAAATCTGGTATACTCACAATGGTGTGTCCCACAGAAGATGGAAACATTCTTTATTAATACTAAATTTTTTAGAAACAGAGTTGAGATAAAACATTTTAATCTTGCCTTCTAACTTTGAAATTGCCCTCTGCCATTCAAGCAGCAGCCATGTTTACATACATGAGTCAGAATGAGAGAAAAAGTACATAAATAGGATGAACCTTTAAACAATTCAGAGCCATTACTTAAGATTAGATAATATTATAAGATAAACTACTAGGAGAAACCATAAAACCAAATTATTTCCCAGAATTGTTTCACCTTTGGAAAAAAATAGATATATCTAAGAATTTGTACCAAAAAAGGTCAAAAAATATTGTCTTTTAGCTTTCCCCCAAACACAAGTATCACTTCTAGATATGCTACTAGTAAGCTGTTACTGGAAAACACACATGGAGAAAATTATGGGGAAGAGTATTACCAAAACCAAACCAGCAATGTGCATTTACAGAAAAAGCAACATGAGTAAATATATACCAATGAGGAATAGTCTGGTCTTTAATTTTCAGATTTTCCAATAATTGTTTTAATTAATGAGCAGTAATATTATACTCTGGAGTTAGATGGATTTAACTTAGAAATAAATTAATGGTTAACTCTTTTTTTTTTTTTCATAGAATATTACATAAACTTGAAGCTTCAGGTTCTGTGTACATAACAAGTAAGATGAGGTTGGAATCCCTGCAGTGGAAGAAAGCAGTATTTTGGAGCAAGAGTCCTACAGCCAGGCAGAGGAGCCCACAGAATGTCGTTATTGTTGTAACAGTTACAGAAAATAATTATCTTGGTTTCATAAAAATTATAAGTAAGAATAAAAAAAACCTTTAAAAAATTCCAATGACAGAAATACATTCTCTGGAATGGCCTATTAAGTATACGTAAGTCAATAAAGAATTGTAATTAATTAAACCGCTTAAAATTGTTTAAAACAATTCATCAACAAGAGATATGATAGAGAAGGACTTTTCTTGGTAAAAACAGTATGTTCACTAAAATTTAAATTCTGTTTAAAGAAAAATACCTGGAAATAAGACAGATTCCGCTATTTTTAAGCTATTGTCTCTTGACCCTGCATTTCTTCAAAATCTCTTTGAGGGTTGAACTGTTAAAAGATAAAACAATGACATTAATACAACTACTTAATTTATCTGAAAAAGCAAGCAGCATACTTTAGGTTCATCTACACCCTTTAATAGACTTGTTCTTCAATGGGTGTTAATATCTGCCTAATTCGAGTAGTATCTGCCTAATGTTTTACACAACAAGTGACTCCTATTAAGGCAATTAAAAAAAAGGCAAAGGCCTGATACAGCAAAAAGCATCCTTATTCTAAACAGTATTTAAGTTTAGATTTAGTTTTAATTATATTCATGTTTTACAAAAGAACTGTCACATTTTAAATTAAGTTTGTCCATAATGGGGAAAATGGAGATAGGTACTGTCCAAAATGTGGATAAAATTTAGCTGCGTTGATATGATACCCTCAGTCCAGGTGTCAATCAATTTGTACATGAACAATTAATGAAGTAATGAACTTGGATTCTGTCATGACTGTGATTTTCTTAATTTCCCCATAAAATTAAATACAAGATATTTTATGGCTATTTTAATTGGCATTTCTTCTATTGCAAATAAAAATTAAAAACATATTCATAAAGATTGCAAAGCTTTGCAAGATATACAAGGCTTCTGAAAGAAAACCGATGTATCTTTCAGGTGGGCATTTTAGTACAAGTCAGATCTGAATTTCTCTTTACAGAGTTTCCAGAGATACAGAACAGAAGCTAACTTAAAAGTAACAATGGCTATTAGACCCCCTCAGCATTTCGTGTTCTTTGTCTCCACCTCCTGCTTGGAAAGAACATGGGTTACTGGGAGTTAAAGCATGCTTGTGATTTCGAATTATTTTGGGGAATCTGGAAAAGAAAGTGAATAACAAAGGAACAGAAAGTCTTGAATACAACAGACAGAAATAAAATACTGAACATATAATCAGTAGCAATTTTATGAAGATGAGATACATAATTATGTGGCACCAGGTCAGTGCATGTTGCTAACTTAGGTTAAATATTCAAAAACTAAAAGCAACAATAAACACTCTGGTAAACTGGTTATAGATTAAGGCATTTGTTGGCAGCAATGAGAGTGATGGTGTCGAGTCCAAGCTTTGTTTTAATTTATCTTGATTTAAGAAATAATGGGAAATCAGCGGTTCCCCTCATCTATTATACCAATGGCCACTGTACTTCTCTACAGAGCTGTTACAGAAGACAAAAGCAAGGCAGATTCTCCAGTTATTAAGACAAGTTAATCAAGGTAAGTTAAAAGAACTGCCTGTACTTGTCATTTCAGAATGTAAGCAGAGTACGCCATTGAAAATACTCAGAAAGTAGGAAGAAATAAAATTTTGATAAAAGTAAAAAAACTGAGAGAAGATAATCATAAAAGTGGGCTCATATATGATGGATTACTTTGCAGTATTTCTTCACTATGTACCACTTCCACAACTTTGAGAAGAAAAATTTTTCAAATAACTTCATTTTTCACAAAGACCTCCTAAAAGAATTGGAGGGTTTTCATTGAAAACCAAAATGGATTAAAATTTTCTCACTGGAATATTTACGTTAAGTCTTTTAGAATTCTGCTGCACTGTTACAAACAACACTAATTTTTCACTAAAATTCAGCTCCCAAAAGAACATGATCAGACTCCCCACTGACAAAAACCAGCACATGCTTTGATTTTAATAAAAGCATACTGATTTGCGGCAAATTATAAATCATACCTGAAAAACAGCCTGTTTTAAAATTTCTTCTGACACTATTATCTGTCCAAATGGTCCATAAATATTTTTTCAACTGTCAAGTTGATTTATATATTATAATTGGAAAGGAAACGTGTAATCCACCAAAAGCAAATAAATTAATGAGAGAAAAACTGAAAACAACAATCTTAACGTATTTAAAGTTTATCAGAAGGCGACCGAACAAATGTATCTGGAAAAGTTAAGCACTGCAAACTGACAAGGTATGAATAGATATACATAATTTTATGGGATGTTTAGGTGCTACTTAATAGAAAAGGAAAGTAATGGGGTTTTACAATAATAACTTAAACCAGAAGATGGAGCTCTTGAACTGTTTATTTAAAAAGAACTAGAAAAAATGGAAGCAAATATAGTTGCTGAAGGAAGATAATGTAAAACTTCTGGAATTACTTTTTTGGTATCTTCAATGACATTGAATGCTAGATTCTGTAAAAGTTACCTTAAATGCTCTTTCATGTGTATACACATTTCACTTGCATAGCATCTATTTCAAACAGTAAACGTTTCTGTCTGCATATGAATCTCAACTCTCATACACTCTCTCTCTTTCTACACTGCCTTTTTAATGTTTTTCAATCCTTTTTTCAGGTTTCCTACTTGAATTCCTTTACTCCTTAACATCCTCCTAATCACCTGGAATTTAAATGACACTTCCTGCAGCAGTCTCTAGCACAGATGATCTTCCCATTCTCACTATTTTAAGTGCATGGGATCCGGTTAAAAAAGATGCTTTTCACAGGAAAAAAAAAAAAAAAAAAAAAAAAAAAAAAAAAAGTATCAAATCAGTCTCCCAGAAAGAGCAGCAAAAAACAACAAAAGGACAAAGGAACTGCTTAAACTGCAGTAAGTATATTATTTGATTCCTTCAGAACGAACCTGCACCTAATATGAAGTGGGAAAAGGTGTTTCACTCATTTTTGAGAGAAATGAGATTTCAGAATTAATTCCCCAAATTAAGCTTTTTAAGCAGCCCAATGCTCTAGAAATACATAGAGTCTGATTTCTTATTGTCTTGTACTTCTTACAGCCGTAACACAAGGTTCCTTTTGCAGAACATGAATGAAGAAAAATAAGTTATACGCCACTATGAGACACACGGAAGTTTGGGGTAATTCACCCCTACCCTAATTCCAGGGTGATTCAACTTTCCCACCTTCCTGAAGAGTCATTCCCAAAGACTGGAATTCAAGGGTACATCTGACATATAAAGTATCTACGTTACTTGAGGATTCATCGGGTGACTTTAAAATCTGATGGTGTTAAATTAAGCTACTAATTTATGCCACCAAAACAGGCCAAAGATACAGCAGTGAGTTAAACTTAAGTGTAAAATACCCTAATTGATGCATTTAAAGTCTCCTTGGCAGATGTGTAAACCCTACCCAAACAAGGAGAAACTGAGCTCATGTATTTCTAAGGGGTTCTGCCTACAGGGGAAAGAGTCTCCATGAGAGACCAGAAGTAGCAGGTGGATGTTACCTGCACAGAAAAACAACCCCTCCTCCTCCTCCTCCCTAGTCAGAGGGAGTTTTATGACAGCGCCAGATACAGAGGGGTCCCTTCCAACTTCTTGCCCAAAGGAGGAATCCAGGCAGGTTAGTACTGACTGAATAAGCATTCATTCCTGCGTCCACTGACTTGAAAGGGAATATCGTTCACCCCTTAAAAGTTTCACATGAAGTATATTCTACTATTTTGTAAAATATTTTACTCTGAATCCTTTAGTCTTAAAATGAGCATTACAGTCTTAAAATTAATCATCTTCACAATAATTAATCAGAAAAAATAAATTTGGTCTGAAAATTGCAGTGGCAGGAAACAGTTTAAAATGAGCTTAAATAATTAAACAACCAATTTATTAATTAATAAATTACTAGAATATTCAATTGGCATAGTTTTGATCCATTTATTTAGAAATGAAAATTCTATGAAGCAATAGGAAAGGGTTTATTTAAGTTATGGTAATTGCTAAAAGTTTTTTCAAAGCAATTATGTTTTGAAGTAATTTTTGTAAAGAGATTTATGCACCAAAAGAGTGTATAAATAGCAATGCTACTTAAGTTATTTTCGCTCAATCATGCTAATAGTCAAGTGTATTTCTATATCCAAGTATTTCAAATACAGTTGGCATTTCTAAGCTGCCTATTGATAAAGTGCTGTGCAGAAATATTATCATTTCTATTACTAGTCATATGCAAGTCATATAGGAGAAACCAAAGCAGTTTCTAATCTGTCTCAGTTAAGTTTAACCTTTTTGATAAAAAGCCCGGAAGATATAAACTATATTGTTTTTCTAAGTAGGCCTTCATATTTCCTTTCTGACAATTACATCACTAACAAATTTCCTAAGTTAAAAAGGAGACTTTTTTTTTCCTTACCATATAGCAAGCTAAAAACTGCTGTATCTTTTCAGTAAAATGAAAACTTCCTCCAGAGGGCTCGGAAAAGTCAAATGTAATTAAGACGTTTTAAGAAACATGTTCCACATTGTCCTCAAAAGTTTAATTATTCACTTAAGGAAAAACATATAAGCCAAAACTGTCAGCCTGAGTAAAAAAAACAACAAAATGAAAAATCCTTAAAGAAAAAGGTTCATATTATTTACATCAGTCTGAACTCAGACTATATAACACCCCAGTGCAATACAATTGAAGTAAGCATCTTTTTGGAAGTTGACGAAGTCTATTAAGCCTACTAAAAGTGAAGACAGAATAAATACTATGAAGTTTCAGTAAATATATACTGAAATTCTGTATACAGTTTTCACTTTTTTTTTTTTTTTTTTTTTCAACTTTGAACATCACCACTGATCCTGCTCCTTGAAAAGGCCTTCACTTTCTAAAGAAATTAGCAGAACTTGATCATAACCAAATCATGGAATAAAATGATCTGGCACATATGCACACTAACGCACAAATTAAATAATCAAATTGGAAAGCCTACGTGATTTACTATGTTCAAATTTCAAAGCCTCACTAGGAAGCAGAGACTTATTTCAGGCCACTCCCAGTCCTAGAGTTGAGAGGCTGTACAACTGGATTTCCCAATCAGACATGCACACGGCAGATACAAGATCAGCACTAGCACAGCAGAAATGTTTATAGTCTTGGTATCCTACCACATAACTATTTCTGTACCTCAGAGCCTTCAACAAAATGATGCAGCTCTTTTAGCTGATGACAAACATTACCAGCCACACAGTGCCCTTAAAACTCGCCTGTGCCTCGAAGGAGAAACACCACTCACGCCATCATGAACTGGTCATTTCTAAGGAAAAAAAAAAAAAAAAAGTT